ACCCTACTACTACCTACCCTACTACTACCTACCCTACTACTACCTACTACCTACTACTACCTACTACCTACTACCTACTACCGACGACGACTGCGACTACGATGGCTCCCTGAGCCGATAATTCAGGGGGAGTGGACCTCATGAGTGGTTATCTCATTCCTTGTTGACCTTGTTGACCTACCATGTGGGGGGGGGGGAGGTTTATTAATCCGGTCTTTGCATTACAAACCTTCCAAATCCCAACATCAAGAATCAAGCTACAAAAATTGAATTCCGCTGGCGGCAAGCTGCAACATGTTCGCAAAAACAATCATTTCCCCACACCGAATGAAACAACATATGAATTTACAAAACTGCCGCCAACGAACGATCGGCACCGATGGGACCTCACGGTCTAAACCTGAATTCCACCACGGTCCCTTTCATCACGGTAGCCAGACCCGGACCCTGTGGGACTCCAGGCATCTCATCGCATCATGTGGGACTCGGCATGTTGTGCGTCTTTCACATCATGTGTGTTGGATGTGGTGATGAAAATGAAAATAAGTATCTGGCTTCGATGCTTGAGGGTCGGTGACCAAAAATTGCGTCGTGAACCAATTCAACAAATTGGCCATCTGCATGCTGAAGAACAAGCGAAAACACCGTATCAAACAAGGCTCAACTCGATACTGCACATACATGCACATACTGTGCATGCTGGAGATCTTCCAAGAGCTCTTCCTCTCTCCGTTGATCTTTCCATACCCTTCCCATCCAATGACAATCTCGGATAATGAGTAATAAACAGCAGACCTCCCCACATGTACAGTATCCTTATTAAGATTTTAAGCTGTTCTACATCAGGCGAGAATTGGCCAGGGTTATTTTCTGCAATGCACATGAGATTGAACTATGTTGCATTGTGAAAACATGAGATTGAACTATGTTGCATTGTGGAGGGTAGGCCCTTCCTGGAAACCAAAGAGAATTGAGGAGGAGGACTCTCCTCAGAAAGGGGCTGTATTATTGCATTGAGAAAGGAGCGAGGATTCCTGCAGCCGGTACTGGATTGGATGAAGCAAATCTAGCTAAAGGATGCTAAAGGGTGTTAGAACCAAGGAAGATCTCATAAACTTTATTCAAGGTCAACGTTATCAGTATTTAGGCTTTGGTGGCTTCCTGGCGTGGGACCCATGCAGGTTGTGCTTTGTTGCTGTTTTCCCTCTGGCCGCACCCATCGCGAGTCCGGGCACGCGCCCAGGGCTCCTTAGAGACCCACATTGATTGCCTCGTTTGCCTTCAAAGTAAAGGAGATCTGCAACTTGTTGCGTGAAACGGTCAAGGCCAAGCAAATGTTCCTTCATTCAGACTCCTCAGAATCATCAGCATTCCTGCCCTGAAGTGTTTTCTCGTCTTTGACCTAGACTCCTTAGACTGCTTGGCTTTCTGCCAGACTGCTCCAGTCTCCAACATACTTCATCTTTTGGGCCTGAGGTATTGCAGCTGATGCCATGACCTTAGTCATGGCATTGGCCTGCCCGTCTGTCAAAAGCGGCAAGAGCTTCGTGTCACTGGACACTGGTTCTTGCCAGCCAGTCGCGGAACTCAAGGGCACACCAAGTGCTGGAAGCAGGAGAAAAGCATTTTGCTTCAGCTTGTGCTCTCTGGCCAACCGATCTTTGAAGCCCTCCAAAGTCATGGTGCTCGTGGGCCTGATCTTACACCACACACTATGTTTCTTGGATAGTAGGCTGCGTGTACTTCTTCAAGGACATACTGTGCTTTGATCTTTCCAGCACTTCAAGTTTCAGCTTGGCACTTACTTTCTTCTCGTGACCACGGCTCCTGAGCTTCGAAGTACAGTGTAGGTGTTCTATGACGATGCCAATCTGCCGCGTTCGAAAGCCCCCAACTGCAGATCGTCTTCAGCAACATGCAAAGGTAAAAGTTGGTCATGCGAGTGCATTTGTCCCGCCTCCACGTGGATCCCCTGCGCACCTTTGGCAGTCTCGTTGGCCAAGTCGCACCCGAGTTCCAGCAACTGTTGATATCATGTCCTGCAATTTTTGCTGCGAGCCACGATATCGTCCAAGCACGCTTCCACAAATGGCCTCAATCTGCAAAGCAACTCCATGGCCCTGCAAACACGGTGAGTACCGCACTTGCTTCGAGCCCTTCGTCTGAATAAAAACGTCCATACAGGCTTTCCTCAAAATGGTTTTGAATCTTGGGGAATCCAACCTGTGAAATCACAACGCCAATTTGCATACCATGCCTTGTTTTTGCATGAGCAACATGCAGCGGCAGCATGCTACAAATCCAAAGGCCAAAGGCCACAGGGGAAAACGAACTGTGCCCTGGCGTTGATGGTTTGGAGGGAGGAGGCTGTATGCAGTATAGAGTGGGCCTATGGTTCTAGCGGATCTATTTACTATTACCCTCAAACACCCTAAGCAGCCGGAACCACTAGCAAAGCCGGAACCACTTCTGCAGTTCGTGGGCCGAGGGGAAGCGGTGCAAAAATACATCTTTGACAACCACTGAATTCTGCCGGTGCACAAGATATGGATAGGATAGGACATGATGGGACCATAACAATCCTAAGTCTACTTTTTGAATCACGGGTAGGCGCACGTTAAAATGAGCGGTCGATCAGCTCATCATTTTGAGGACTTGGACCCGGCTTGAAGCCCAAAGCATCTACAAATCCCATTCCAAACCAGCCCAAAGCGAGTCTGTGTCCGGTGAGCGGCCAGAATCAAAGGAAGCAGGATGACAAAGGACACACTGAGAACGAAACCTAACAAATGGGGCTGTTGACTTGTGAATGCATTGTAGTACCCCAGAGTCGCCGACTTTCTGCTTGTCCAGCGCATGAGAACGCGTGTTCGGGTCCATCAGCCATCAAAGGCCTTCAATGGGTCGGGTGGGCCGCCAATTGAAAAGGGCCGAAAACAGAACTGGTTTTACATTCTTCACCAACCTGACACCAGAACCGCCTGCAGAACCTGCAGAAAAACACGCTTCAGTAAGAAGTTAGAAGCCCTCGACCATATGCACTCTTGTGTAAAGCGAATCCTGAAATGAACACCATTGTCCCGGGTGATATGCATGCGTGTAGCCAAACCAACTCACAATGGATCTTAGCTTAGCATCCTGCGCACATCCTATTGAGCTTCGACCCATATATTAGTTTACAGTAAACCTCTATGTTGCATCAAATTCTTACGCTTTTTCTTGCGCGTGCTTGCTGCTTGCGCAACCACTGTTTTGGCTTATGTGAGCGCTCCGCTTGGCTAACAGAAGTCTTGCGCAAAGCTTACGCCATGACACAATTGTGAGTACGAAAGGTTCCCCCAAAGGATTTGCTTGCGTGACAGCAACCCCTTTTTCCATGTACTTATGCATACTTACGCAACAAGTGTGTTCAACATGGAGCTTTCGCAACCTTACGCAACACAATGCTTTCCTTGCGCCACAGATCGATATAACATAGTTGCCTCTCGGAATATCAAGGGATGTTTTGATTGCTCAATTGGAAATCGGGTCAAAGCCCGAGATTGCGACAGCGCCATTCCGACCCACCCTTCCCCGCGCAGAAAATAATGATCTAATTTGCGAAGCTAAGAGCTAACGGGCTGGCCGGATGCAGCACTCGCCGGCTGTCGCTCAATGAGGACCCCATGCGGTCTCTGTCAAATGCTTCAGGCTAATGGGTGATAAGTCCAATGGAAGCGGAAAGGGATGGAAAAGGGCGGTGTGTGGAAAACACTTCTCCCGATCCAAGTTTCAGGGTCTCAACTCCCTCGTCTGTTCCGCAAACTTCCCGTCCAATTCGTTTCCGTCCAAGCGGCTCCTATTCGTGCAACAAAGAGCAAATATGGAAGTGGACAACAGTGCTTGGGAATAAGACCTTCCTGATCCTTCCTCGACAAACAGAGACAAACAGGGATTTGTTCCACTTACATATACATGATTGCAAACAGCGTCTGAGTGACATCTGAATCCTGAAGCGACAAGCCCTGATGACTCGACAGACCGACCGGATGACTCGACAGGTCGACGGAACCGATGGGAATCGCCCCCGCGGGCGGGTGCGCATTGGCGCGGATTTGATGCCCAAAAACCGGAGAGTCAAACGGTCTGTCAAAGGAATTTACGCATGTGATGCAAGGATCCTAATATCCAGGATCCTAGTCTGTCACAGCTCTGCCCGGCGACTGTACAGCTCTGCAAACTCGGCTGGGTGTTCCCTTGAAAGCAAATGATCATAATGATAATCAATGAATCAATATCTTGCAGACTATCTTGGCGTGCAAAAATTATCAGCACCATTGCCACAGACAGTCCCTGGCAAACTCCTCAAACACCGCACGGCAAGGCTTATGAAGCACTCCTGCCGGCTCGGTTGCTTCAGAAGTGTTCAGTCAGCGCTTCGCAAGATTCCTCAAGTTGCTTGCCCGTCGTTTAGCAAAAAGCTTGCTTTACGACATCCTGATGGGGAAGGAATCAAGGAGCTTCGTCAAATCGATGGAACAAACTTGGAGCAACTGGTGCACCCAAGTCACTGACCGATCAAGTCACTCCCCACCTGGTCGGACTCAAAATCTCTTGGCATTCTGCTTTCCCAGCACCTCAGCATCAGTTGGAATGGCTGTCCCTTCCTTCAGTGAAGGAATTCCAAGTTGGGAACCATCAGCGATCCAATCTCCCGCTGGGCGATCCTATGACCTACTTGGAACCATCACCTCTGATAATCAGAACCGTCAAGAATCGAAAGGAGCCACATGGTTTAGTCCTCTGACAAAAGAACCAGGACTATGGGCGAGGGCTCGTAGAGGAACACCCAAAACATACAAGAATCCAAAGACAGGTCAACTCCTGCGGTCAAAGGACCTTCTTTTGGAGTGCGAAATCGCCGCGTGAGTGGAAATCTCCCACGCAAAGGGGTTGATGTTGAATCCACCAAAGGTGATGCCACAAGTCCGGATGGAGCGGGCGATCGTTTACAAGCTTGACAACCAACAAAAACAACTCTTCTTGGCATCCCCACTGCACGAGCGGCCACCCCCAGGTCGGAGGCTCCACGGCAAATGCCTGGGGAACGTGAGCGAGCTGTTCTGCCTGGCCAACCATTCCACAGAATCCATGTATATATATACAGTAATTGTTATGTAATTATGACATCGGCTTTACTTGCCTTGGGGTGGTTTGAGGGGTCAACCTCAACATGCCAGTCCCATGGACGGTCAACCCAATGGGTTCCAAAATGTTCCAAACACATGCTGCCCCACAGAGCTGATAATGCGTTTGTGCCCGACTCGATTCAGTGTTCGTGAGTGGAATGTGTTCTTGGTTCACCGCATTGAAGGCGCAAATAGTGCAGGTGAAAAGGTTTCTGTGAGGAGTCTGCAGAGAAAGAACAGGAGATAACAGAAGAATCCTAAGAATGTTTCTGCTGCCCCCTTGCCCATGATGACACGATTAGTGTCTTACATTAATCAACCAACCCATTTTGACCTTTTTGTGGTCACCCTTGGACCCACAGCTACCAAAAACAGGCTAGATGGTCGATCTTGTCTAGCTGAGCATCACTAAACGGTGCATCACTGTTCGGTCGTGCCGGTGTCCACAGCCAGCCTTCGCTCTGAAGCGTGCTGGACTTCGCTCGGCTGCCGGAGGTGTTGCTCTGAACAGGGAACCCCAAGAACTTGTGCAGCAATAACTGAGAGCCCAACTCAACCGCAACATAAACATGGCCACCTCAGACCGGTCTGAGACGGGCGAAGCTTCCAGGCTTTGGGCCCTTCCATTAAGTAGAAACAACGTGAGATAACGCGAGCATCTATCGTTGTAGTGTATACATATATATATATATACATATAAATATATAATACTATATACATCTACATGTGTTTTGTCATGTTCTGTATGCATACAGTTTATCTTGACCCTCCACCATCCCTTCCGCCGGGATGGCCACTTTACGATACTTTACGTGCCCAGTTCGTTTTTGGAATGAAGCTCCTCTAAATTTTCCCATGTTCTTATTTGGTCAGAGATCAAAACATGCGTTAAACTTCCTCACCAAAATGCAAACTCAGAAACACGCAAGGTGTTGTCACAGGACTTCAATCACAAACATGGTGAACGTAGACATTTCAAGAGACCCTCCTAATCTGTTTTGCCCGCCGAGCATCCTTCGTGTTCAAAAAGCTCATTTTCCGAAGAACGGCAACCGTTTGCGCAGCAACCAGCTGGAAACCGCTCCATCTTAGAATGCTTTAGTTTTAGAGGAGCAAGGGCATGAATTCCTGCACATGGGACTTTGTAACCTTGTGGCTGCCGGTCGTGCAGGGAATAATGCCAATGTTTTACATAACTTCGAAGCACGGGAAGGCAGTAAAATCCAACAAAGAGAGATGATTCTTCAAAGGATGATGTACCACCTGAGGAGAAGAACGAGGAGTTTGCAAAGAACCTGCAGCAGGCCAACACGGGCCTATCAAATGTTGAAGGAGGGCTGCACATTGAAAGATTGTAACGCTGGCACCTCGAACCGAATTGACCTTTGTTGTCGTTGGCTCTCCTCTGCATGCTTACATTCTGGTGGGTGCTGCTGCCACGAACCTTCCGTGCCGACGGTTTGCTGGACCCTGAATTTCGATCATCTGAACATCTTCAACCCGGTCAGCCAAAGCGACGATTCAGAAACACTGAGGCCAGCTCCCGCATGAGGGGTGTACATCCAGGAGCACTATGTACCTAAGCCCATCTCGACATCAGCGATGCATGTAAACCAACCTGCAAAGGTCAAACACCTGAAAGCCCTCAAGCTTTGCAGCAGGCAGCTTCAGTACATATGTGCATTCTTTGGCACATGGACCCTACGTCTGGGTTCAGGTTCGGTGATCAGTATCCTGCCACATGGCCACATGGCATGGTCTAAAGGTATTCAACTTCACAGTTGCATCCTGATGAGAACTCCTGTACTGCGTTCTGGGCAGCGACAGTAGCCGCGTCACGAGCCTGTGTAGTGAATCGTACCCGCCAAACCCCACGCCATAGATCATCACACAGGAGACCCCAGCAGGACACCACTCAAAGGCAATACATGCAATCAAAAAACAGCCTTTCACAAAACAAACTCCACTCTGTGGTCCATCTTCGCCTGCAGGGTGAAGTCTTGTGGTGGTATGACTTTCCAATCCCTTCTTCCTGGAATGGCCACAGATTTCACTCTACAACCAGCTAGGCAGCTAGGCTAGGCCCCTCACACGCTGAGCGATCACCACCAAAGCCAAACGAAAGCAAGTGGAGGACCTGAACGTTCCCCGAGTCGGAGGCGCACTGGGGAACATGCACCGATTCACTGAAGTTACATTTTGCATCTTCTTGCCGGATATGTTGGCAGCAATGCTTCACATGATCTAATCTGACCTTTCCCATCTACAAGCACGACATGAAAGAATGCACACATTTATCCTAGCTTTCTCCGAACAGTATTGAGCAAAAAGCCATCGCTGATACTGTCCAAATGCCCCTGCATGCTGAGCTGATGCGAGTGGTATCATTGCAGCTGTACCAACTAGAAACTGGTTCGACTATATAATTAAGAACAAGTCGAGGTGTTTGCGCCAAGGCTATGCCGACAAGGCTTTTGGCCAAATCAATCACATCTTGGAGTTCCATTTTACGTCCTTGACAGGGTGGTCAAGCAGGCGCTTAAACAAACCAAGAAAAACTATTGTACAACTAAAAAGGTTATATATATAAATGCCGAGGCCTCTGGCGTAGTACAGATCACATCTGCCGCATTTTTGCATTTCGTAGATACTTCCTGATATTTCTCACAGTGCATGCACATGCTGCCATCCGCATGCTTCGCTTCGGTCCGCTGGGTCCCAGGCATCTTCCCAGCAACACCTCGACGCTCAAGGCCATATTGCACGCAGCCAGAGAAAATCCCCTGGAGGCACCTAGTGGATTCGGAAGTTCCAAAAGCGAGCGACGCTGCGATGCCAAGCTGGCGTGTCCTTTCCATCGAAGTGGGCGGAGTGTTCAATCTAAACATGACAGCATATGACAACAACAGTCTTTACCGTAGGATACAGTAGGGATTTCTACGTAACAAATAAGAAACCAAGGAAACATGAGGAAGATGTTCCTGTTGAAGAACAACTTCGGAACAACTTTCTAGGTTCTCAGTTGCCTGAAGTGACGTGGATCCACCCCTGCCCCAGGAAGTGGCCCCTGCTGTAGTATGGTCCAAATTCTGTACGTCCAAAGTTGTACCGATCATTATAAGGAACACTCATGCCAGCATCATCCAGCTTGTTGTAGGACTCCATGGTTCAAGTCCCTACTATATACCTCATTGTACCGTATACCTCTATATATAATCCACCCCGTGCCCAGGCCATGTGGTGCTCTCCACGCTCGCACATCGGATCGGTCGACTCTGCGAGTGACTGATGGCTCAACTCAGCGGAGAGATCTGACCTCGGAGCATCCAAAAGCTAAAACAAATTAAACCATGAGTTGAGTCCTGTATCGAGTTGTCAATGTCAAATGAACATATTGTTAACCACATACAATACATGATAAAGGGATGTGCGATGTGATGACGTGTGTTTTGCTAGGGAGACCTCCAACCAGTGTGGTTGAAAGGACCATGTTCCATCTCAAAACGCTCTGCCTCTTCCTGGCATTGCTAGATGTTACATGTTGGATCCAGGTTCTATGTATATACTAGATGTTGGCTATTGATTTTACATGCCCGGGTGCCCCTCTCCCCTGAGAACACTTATGGGCTTACTCAGCCAACATTCCACGGATCCTGATCCGTGGGATCTCCCTGCTGCATATATAATTGTGATTTATTGTGCAAATATGATCAAATATGATTCTGAGACTGATTCTGATGCAATATGATGCAACAAAACGAGTGTCATGAATGTGTTCGATGTACAGCAGCTTGCCAAGATCAGTAGTCTCCTAGACCAGTCCTAACGCTGATGCGGCACCACGGGCCGTACGGGCATCGGTCTGGGGATCCCACTCCGCAGCGAAGCGCTGCATTGACTGCACGGTCCAGAATCCCTTCCTGACAACCAGGCAATACCAGGCAGCAGGCTACATCCCATGTTGGTTCTATCAAGGGGCTATGAGGGCGCTCATCTACTCAATGGGAACCCATTCAAGCACTGAACGGAAAGCTGACGAGGGGGTGCTGGGGGCCTTCATTTTTTACAAATTCATACGAGGGAGTTAGGCTTACTGGATTCAGTGATAGAGTCAAGGAGCTCCGCGCACATCTTGGTCTCTCCATCAAAGGTACTTCCAGCCCACAGGGCCTTTGCCCTTCACATTTCTGGGACTGATGTCTGCCCAGCTGAAAATGGGATTGCTCATAGGGTTCGAAAAGGCACTCCAAAGACACAGCTCCAGATTGAGATAACGGATTGCCGGTCTTCACATCCTGCACAGTAAAAAGAACTTTCTCCGTGGTACCTTCCAACCCTACGAGGGGGCCAGCTCTGAGGATGCCCTGAAAAAAACAACTCGTCAGAGGTTTCCGAGAGCGGAAAAATTAGGCTGGCGTGTGTAGCCAGCCTCTGTCACATCCACAGGCGCAGTGCGCGCAATGCACGCAGCAGCCGACATTGGATGCCAAAACATGAGAGCTTGCATCTAGGTGAATCTAGGCACTCAAGCCAAAATGATTCAAGCCCCTCAAATAAAACCGACAGGTAAGCAATTTGAACAAAGCATGAGAGTCTTCGTTGCCCAACCCGCATGGAGCAACACGAGAAGAAATTTGAAAGAAGTATATAATATAGGGATCATCACTGAGATGGTCCCACAAGTGCTACTCAGGCAAGCCGCACTCCTGTTGAACAATCCAGGTAGGTGCGGGTGGATCTGATCTTCACCAGTCCATTGCGGTGGTAGCGCTGGATTAGCTGGCAAACTGCCCTAGGCCCTAGATATTCAGAGGCGATGTCTGCCAGCGGGTTCCCCTACGGGGATCTCATGCAATGATTGGCGTGGTGACCTCGGTGGTGATGTTGGACTCGGTCAATCGCCGGCCACCCAAGTTGACATAGATTTGCCCCAGCTGCGACAAGGAACCATCCGCATGGACCAGCCCGGCGTCCGGATTCGGCGTCGTGATGACGTATCGCCATTCCTGGAGCTTAACACATTCCGCCGCGACGCTGGATCCCTGAGGTGCACATGCATGCCGACAAAAAAACAGCTAAACTGCCACACCTAAAGCGACTTTGGGCCAGGTGTCGTTGGTAAAGTAGCTGAACCAAGCATACTTCTCGATGATCTCTTCTTGCTCAAGCCATGGCACAACCTCTTGCATGAATCGGGCCTGACCTTGCATGGACACGTCAAAACGGGGATCAGCGCAAGCAATCTCGGTTATCCAAATCCTCAGCAGCACTGCTTCAAATGCGACGCTTTTGGACTGTCCTGCGTTACTAATTGAATAGTGATCTGCAGAACGTGGCAAAGCTGGCGGGGTTCATTGGTCCATCCAAGGATTCCCTGCATTAGGTGAAGAACACACACCCCCCAAAAAAAAGAAACTAACATCCCCTGCAACCTGGACTATAACAACAAGGTACAAACTAAAGCTGCAGCCCTATTACAACATATCTACTTCCTTTGTCTCTGCAGTTATTGTTTGTACCTTGTTGTTGTTGTTGCTGGTAGAAAAACAGCCGCCCAACATAATTGTCACATGTTGTAACTTTGGAACTTCAAGGGGACACGGTTAGGGATACGGTTGAAGGTTTGAGCAAATGTTGGTTTCGTAAGTAGGTGGACTTGTTGGACTTGTTTGACTACCGTCTGGGCTGGTTCATGTTTAGTGTTTTTGAGGTGTTGTTCTGGAGGGGGGAGTCCAAAAAACAACAACGGGGCTGCAGTCTTTGTTTCTAGTAGGGGGTAGAGGTTCTAAGTAGAAGTTTTACAGAGGTTTAGCTGACCGGATTCTACTACTGCTACTGCTAACTGCTACTAGTACCACTAGTACTAGCACTAGTACAAACACTACCACTACTGGTGAAAGTACTTGTTGGCTGGTTGTTTTCGGGGGGTCAAAAAACAACGACGGGGCTGCAGTTTTCGTTTCCACCACCACCACCACCACCACCAACAACAACAACAACAACAACACATACACATACACATACACATGTATATATATATATGTCCCCCAAAGTCTCTTCTCTGAAGCAGCCACGCATCCTTTTTACAGGAGCACCTCACAGTTGCTTCAGTGAGGCCAGCCGTCATAGCTGAACCTCTAGTGAACTTCACAGCTGCTAGCCCTCAAGAGAGCTATTCGACCATCTCGCATGGTCATGACCATCTTGCATGGTCATTTGTTTGCCTCTTGTATGCCTCACCATTCCACTTCTGCAGGGCGGAAAAAAGGGCGGAAAAGGACTCACCCCTTCCGCTTCCTGCCTTCCTGGCGTAGCCGCCAAAACCTCAGTCGCCAAGTGCGAATCCTGGACAGCTGGGTAGAGGAAAAGTTGACCTGGGCCAGTTGGTAGGTACCCTCATCAATATACTGCTTGGCAGTTTTGCCACAGGACCACCTGCCCCGCGCGATCGTGGCATCCAAGCTGAGTGAACTTTGAAAGTACCATGTAGCCCCACCCCTACGCAGGCTGTAGGGGGTGTAATCATCCTCCGCCAAGAAGTTTGGCAAACAGTTGGCGAAACTGACGCGGGCCCTCCGACCAAATAAGGCCCTTCTCCTGGGGTTGAATGAGCGAGGCAGCATAGGCAATTAAACTCTCATCCAGCACCAAAATCACTTGTGGATTGCCTTGGGAAGTCTTGCTGCCTGGGATAATGATGCTCATGCCACGGCCTTGCCGGTGAAGAACAATGTGTTGGTGGGACAAAGAAAGCATCTCGCTTGTACGCAGCGTGGCGTTGAAGCCTATGGCTACTAGAAGTGCAAATTCGCGGTAACCCTGCACATGAGACAAGCCCATCATGGCCTCCACCAATTCCCAATGAGCTGGGACTGCTCGAGAAGGGACATAGCAGCGCTGCCGGTTGCGAAAGTACTGGCTTGCAACCGGTAGCTCCAAACGCAAGGAGGGGTGAAAACGCTTCAGTGCCGACAGGAGATGTCCTGAGTAGCTCATTGGCTCTCCCTCCTGGTAAGAAAGGTCTATGAATTCCGCAACCTGTTGATCCAGTCGATGTGGCTTGGAAATGTTCAGCCTTCGCCGGCAAACGAATTTTAAAGCCGTGCGGTAGGCTCGAAGTGTCCTCGGGCGCAGTCCCGCGTACTGCAAGCTCTTCTTGTTACGCTTCATGGCTCCGGCTTGCCTTGTCCGCAAAATTCCATCGGCTGATGGTCCAGAGCGGGAACATGTAGTTGTCCATTGCAAGCATGTAGGCACTGCACCTGCGAGCCACCTTGTTGAGCCTCCGCGAACTGCTTCGTCCCTTTGCCAAGACTCCACGGGAAACCATCGAGTCCAACACGTGGAAAAAGCGAAGGTGTTGCTTGGATCGTGTACGGGCTCGCCTCTTCAAGAAGACGGCCACTGCCAGGAGCTCCAATTCATTGATATGGGCCTCCTGACGCCATGCATAGGACATGATTGTCCGCCATTGCCATCTCATGGCCAAATAAGGGTGCTCATGCATTTGCCCTTCAAGCTCGAGGAACATTCTGACATCTGTTCCCCGGTAAGTGGCATGCCTCAAAAGGGCTGCCAGATGCTCTCGCTCCTGGCCCTTCTCCATGTACTGCTCCTTCAAGGCCAAGCTCTCTGCCATAGGGGCTGCCACGTCCGGGTCTGCCAGACGGTTAGTGGAAAAAGCCATCTCTTCCAGGAAGTGGGCTTCTCTTGCCTCGGCCACCGCTGCGTCAAACTGACCATCAGCTTCAATCTGCTCCCGGACTGCCCTGGCGTATGCCACACACATCTCCCATGGATACTCTGCCTCTCCTCAGTGTCGAAGCGGAGGGTTCCATCAGGGAGTTCTTCAACTTCGTAGGATCGAAGGCCTGGGTGGCCCGGGCAGTCCATAGACACATGCCTCTGTAGCCAAGGGAGGTCGCTCAGGATGGCAAACCACTTCACCCTCTCCCTGCCAAAGCAGCAATGCGAGGCAATGGAGCACTTCATCCCCGGCCACTCTTCCATCTCCTTCACGAGCCGGAACTCCCACATCCAAGACCTCCGGGGATGCTCCACCGACCAGTAGCAGCGAGTCCCCCGCCTGTCCTCTTTGCCCCGCTTCAAAGCCCGGAGCACCATTTGGTTTGAGCGACGAACTCTCGCTTTCATGTCACTCTTTAACCACGGATAGCCCATGACGTGGTGACCGTCCCGAACCGGCTGTGGCCCCTGAATTCTTCGCCCATTCCGAAGTGTTATGGGCCGCCCACGGGCTCTGCTAAAGAGCTTGCATTCAGGGGCCCAATGTTCGACGGCTAAGCATGGGTCATCCAGCAAGTCCGCCAAGGTTTGCTTTCCCTCCTGGGTGAAAAAGTTGTCCCCAAAGAACCAGTCATAGGGTGGTTGCACCTCAACCTTGCCCACCATGGCTACAGCGTGACTCAGGGGTGCACGTCGACCTGCAAACCTCTCTCCGAACTTTGGAATCCTCCAGGTCCTCCTTGGGCAGACCTCGGCGCCTTCCCGATGCGTCAACACGCACGAGAGTGAACAGAGCGTTGCGCCACACACCGCTGGACACGGGTAACGGTCATGCCCTGGGATGTCTTTTCCGCGTTGTGCACAAACCGCAGGATCTCTCTCAATGGTGCATGGCGCTGCCTGGAACTCAACAGCGGTCGCGGCTCCGCCCCCCGTGGGTGAAGCGTCGGTGACTGACACCTCGGGGTCGATCTTTGCCCTTAAATTCGTATACATAAGCGGGGTGAGCAGCACCGTGACCGAGCGGCCTCCTGAAGCAACACCCGAAGGTTGCCTTCCCAATGAAGTGCCTCAGCTCGGCCTCCGACCACTTATCCTTGGCCAGCATAGTGGCGCCAAGGGTCATGACCTCAACCATCTTCTGGACCGACAGGACGTATCTTCCATCTTCACC